GATCGCCATATCTGACCAACATTTTTTTCAGGTATCTTCCTGAGACAAAAGGCCGCACAACTGAAGAGATTACAGCCATGCTGCAAAACTGACCGGAGCTCTGAGCTGCTACTGTAATCAGTGGAAATAAAATGATCCTTCGTCGATATGTTGACCTGCAAACGAAAGCCATTGCGGCGTTTTCGAAGCTCTGAAAATCGTACGATCATGGGAACCACCACAAGATTCTTACTTTGCGCACTTACAGTTAGAAGCTACAGATCACCGATCCTGACCAACCAATGAGGATGTGCTTTAAGAAAAGGTTTTCTACCTTGTCAAGGACTCTCCAGTGGTCAACTTATCAAAACAATACCTAGACGTTACTCAGCCCAGTCGGCATCAAACAATCGAAGACTCTTAAATCTTCAAGTTTTTTAAAGTGAAGTTTTGAATCTCAAGTGTTGTTCCGCGTTCAGATCGCTACAAGGACCGGGGACCATACATGGAATCCCTGGCATTGTTTGAGCTAATACTGAAAGGCGTAGGGTCAAGTGTACGGCGCTACCATACTCTCCCATCAACAGTGAGGCTCTAACTATGATCGCATTATGAAAGCTTATGCTTATATCCCTCAATTTATGTTACACAGAATCATGGAAGTTTAGCTCATGCTCATGCTTGTGCTGTCATCTGTTAAGTCGAATTTGGCTTAGAATAACGTATCCGAAGTAGGAAAACCAGTTTTATGGATGTGGATGCACTCTACGTTGAAGGCAGCGGTTAAGGTTGGTTCTTGAGGAGCTCAGAGGAGGCGTGGTGGTGCTGACGGTACACCAGTAGCGAAAAAAAGGGTCGTTGGTCTTCGCTAATGAACAGGTAACGCCTCAGAAATCGAACGTATGAACGAGTTGTCGCAACGCGTTTGGTGGCACCATGCCAAACCACGCTCCAATCGAGTTGTGCCGCTGCTGGCAACGCAGCTCGTCCAAATCACCAACTAAACTAGTGGGCGGATCGCTTTTGGGGCGGAGTGCTTTCGAAGTCCTGCTCAGCAACCAGCGCACCTTTCGTCGTGAAAGCGCCACACCTCGCTTCCTTGGCAGCCAAGTAACTGATTCGTGTGGTGCATATGCTTCCCCGATGCGCTCCCTCTTTATCGTAATCGCTGCCTTTAGGTACAGATGGAAAGAATCTGAGCAGTGCTCTACCTTTCCAGGTATCCATCAGTCTGCCTGTTCTCGCAAACAACGCCTCTTTTCACCACGATGAGTCATGTGCCGGGGAAATTTGACTGATACAACCTCTGATGGGAACCCGACTCCATCCGAAAGATTGTCGATAAGGACTGGTGGAGGGAGGTGGTGGTCTTGGAGTAGGAGCATGACTGCAACAATGCAAAAATGTATTCCGATACACAACGTCGCTCTCTCCCCAGACCAGCCCTTGTCGAGGCCCGCGCTGGCTTACCCCTTCCTTCCTCACAGTCTTCTTCCCGCCCTTCGAGAAAACGGAGACCTCGTAATTTTAGAACTGCTCGAGCTGTAAAAGTCAAGATTCTGTAAATACTTCTGTTTTGGTTATAGGCGGAATTTGGGGAACGAAGCCCATCAGAATCAAGGTAGAGATGAGCAGTGATGCCGGGATGAAGAACTAACCAGAAATAACCATGAGAAACGGCTGAGAACCCGAGAAATAAGATCCCTGCCCGTTGATTTCTGCACTGATGCGACTCTCATCGGTGCTGCCCTCTTCAACGCTAACGCTCTCTCTGCTAAACGGGGCTAGACCTGCGGCGAGTGGTTAGCCAGTCGTGGGCGTGCCGCGCCGATAGCGCCGCGGGGAGGGCCATGCTAGATCGCCAGGGCATATCCTTCGCTGCAAATATCGTGTCGGACCACACCCTAAAGAGGGCCACCTGTCTTCCCACTAGGTAAGTTACCCATTTCCAAATTGCAAAATCCTCCTTCAAACTGGAAGGTAACTTATGGTGTGCGGTATCGTAGCAGTACAATTGTCAAAACAA